ACACACTCAATCACAGACAGTCACTCACAGACACGCATACACACACTCACTAATTATTTTAATAAATAAACATTTTCCACCCAGCCTCCCTACATGGAGAGCTGGTGTAGATGATGAATCATTCCCTGGGGTCCAGTGGGGCTGCTGGGAGGCGTGCAGCAGTACTGTGATCAGACGCGGCGAGGGAGCTCTAATCTCCACGCTCTGCTCCCTCGCGGCTGCCTTCTGATACCGCGGGAGCCAGAATATGACATCATATTCCGGCTCCCGCGGCATTAGCAGACAGCGCGCGAGGGAGCAGAGCAGAGAGGTTAGAGCTCCCTCGCCGCGCCTGATCACAGCGCTGCCGCATGCCGCGCCGGGGATCCAGAAGGTGGCCTGGCAGGAGGGAGAGCTTCCCTCCTGCCGGTCACTGAAATATTGCGCCCCCGAAACCGGTGCGCCCTAAGGCGGCCGCCTGTGCCGCCTTATGGACACGCCGGCCCTGCTACTGACTGCAGATTATCAGGACAGGCTCAGACATTGCTGGGACTATATATAAAGTAGTGTATCCTACTGACTGCAGATTATCAGGACAGGCTCAGACATTGCTGGGACTATATATAAAGTAGTGTATCCTACTGACTGCAGATTATCAGGACAGGCTCAGACAGTGCTGGGTTTATATCTAATATAGTGTATCCTACTGGCTGCAGATTATCAGGACAGGTTCAGACAGTGCTGGCTTTATATCTAATGCAGTGTATCCTACTGACTGCAGATTATTAGGACAGGCTCAGACAGTGCTGGGTTTATATCTAATATAGTGTATCCTACTGACTGCAGATTATCAGGACAGGCTCAGACATTGCTGGGACTATATATAAAGTAGTGTATCCTACTGACTGCAGATTATCAGGACAGGCTCAGACAGTGCTGGGTTTATATCTAATATAGTGTATCCTACTGACTGCAGATTATCAGGACAGGCTCAGACTGTGATGGGTTTATATTAAATATAGTGTATCCTACTGACTGCAGATTATCAGGACAGGCTCAGACAGTGCTGGGTTTATATCTAATATAGTGTATCCTACTGGCTGCAGATTATCAGGACAGGCTCAGACAGTGCTGGGTTTATATCTAATATAGTGTATCCTACTGACTGCAGATTATCAGGACAGGCTCAGACAGTGCTGGGTTTATATCTAATATAGTGTATCCTACTGACTGCAGATTACAGGACAGGCTCAGACGGTGATGGGTTTATATTAACTATAGTGTATCATACTGACTGCAGATTATCAGGACAGGCTCAGACATTGCTGGGACTATATATAAAGTAGTGTATCCTACTGACTGCAGATTATCAGGACAGGCTCAGACAGTGCTGGGTTTATATCTAATATAGTGTATCCTACTGACTGCAGATTATCAGGACAGGCTCAGACTGTGATGGGTTTATATTAAATATAGTGTATCCTACTGACTGCAGATTATCAGGACAGGCTCAGACAGTGCTGGGTTTATATCTAATATAGTGTATCCTACTGGCTGCAGATTATCAGGACAGGCTCAGACAGTGCTGGGTTTATATCTAATATAGTGTATCATACTGACTGCAGATTATCAGGACAGGCTCAGACTGCTGGGTTTATATCTAATATAGTGTATCCTACTGACTGCAGATTATCAGGACAGGTTCAGACAGTGCTGGGTTTATATCTAATATAGTGTATCCTACTGACTGCAGATTATCAGGACAGACTCAGACAGTGCTGGGTTTATATATAATGCAGTGTATCCTACTGACTGCAGATTATCAGGACAGGCTCAGACTGTGATGGGTTTATATATAATGTATTGTATCCTACTGACTGCAGATTACCAGGACAGGCTCAGACAGTGCTGGGTTTATATCTAATATAGTGTATCCTACTGACTGCAGATTATCAGGACAGGCTCAGACTGTGATGGGTTTATATTAAATATAGTGTATCCTACTGACTGCAGATTATCAGGACAGGCTCAGACAGTGCTGGGTTTATATTAATATAGTGTATCCTACTGGCTGCAGATTATCAGGACAGGCTCAGACAGTGCTGGGTTTATATCTAATATAGTGTATCCTACTGACTGCAGATTATCAGAACAGGCTCAGACTGCTGGGTTTATATCTAATATAGTGTGTCCTACTGACTGCAGATTATCAGGACAGGCTCAGACAGTGCTGGGTTTATATCTAATATAGTGTGTCCTACTGACTGCAGATTACCAGGACAGGCTCAGACGGTGCTGGGATAACATATAATGCAGTGTGTCCTACTGACTGCAGGTTATCAGGACAGGCTCAGACAGTGCTGGGTTTATATTAAATATAGTGTATCCTACTGACTGCAGATTATCAGGACAGGCTCAGACAGTGCTGGGTTTATATCTAATGTAGTGTATCCTACTGACTGCAGATTATCAGGACAGGCTCAGACAGTGCTGGGTTTATATCTAATGTAGTGTATCCTACTGGCTGCAGATTATCAGGACAGGTTCAGACAGTGCTGGGTTTATATCTAATATAGTGTATCCTACTGGCTGCAGATTATCAGGACAGGCTCAGACAGTGCTGGGTTTATATCTAATATAGTGTATCATACTGACTGCAGATTATCAGGACAGGCTCAGACTGCTGGGTTTATATCTAATATAGTGTATCCTACTGACTGCAGATTATCAGGACAGGCTCAGACAGTGCTGGGTTTATATCTAATATAGTGTATCCTACTGACTGCAGATTATCAGGACAGGCTTGGACAGTGCTGGGTTTATATATAATATAGTGTATCCTACTGACTGCAGATTAACAGGACAGGCTCAGACGGTGATGGGTTTATATTAACTATAGTGTATCATACTGACTGCAGATTATCAGGACAGGCTCAGACATTGCTGGGACTATATATAAAGTAGTGTATCCTACTGACTGCAGATTATCAGGACAGGCTCAGACAGTGCTGGGTTTATATCTAATATAGTGTATCCTACTGACTGCAGATTATCAGGACAGGCTCAGACTGTGATGGGTTTATATTAAATATAGTGTATCCTACTGACTGCAGATTATCAGGACAGGCTCAGACAGTGCTGGGTTTATATCTAATATAGTGTATCCTACTGGCTGCAGATTATCAGGACAGGCTCAGACAGTGCTGGGTTTATATCTAATATAGTGTATCATACTGACTGCAGATTATCAGGACAGGCTCAGACTGCTGGGTTTATATCTAATATAGTGTATCCTACTGACTGCAGATTATCAGGACAGGTTCAGACAGTGCTGGGTTTATATCTAATATAGTGTATCCTACTGACTGCAGATTATCAGGACAGACTCAGACAGTGCTGGGTTTATATATAATGCAGTGTATCCTACTGACTGCAGATTATCAGGACAGGCTCAGACTGTGATGGGTTTATATATAATGTATTGTATCCTACTGACTGCAGATTACCAGGACAGGCTCAGACAGTGCTGGGTTTATATCTAATATAGTGTATCCTACTGACTGCAGATTATCAGGACAGGCTCAGACTGTGATGGGTTTATATTAAATATAGTGTATCCTACTGACTGCAGATTATCAGGACAGGCTCAGACAGTGCTGGGTTTATATCTAATATAGTGTATCCTACTGGCTGCAGATTATCAGGACAGGCTCAGACAGTGCTGGGTTTATATCTAATATAGTGTATCCTACTGACTGCAGATTATCAGAACAGGCTCAGACTGCTGGGTTTATATCTAATATAGTGTGTCCTACTGACTGCAGATTATCAGGACAGGCTCAGACAGTGCTGGGTTTATATCTAATATAGTGTGTCCTACTGACTGCAGATTACCAGGACAGGCTCAGACGGTGCTGGGATAACATATAATGCAGTGTGTCCTACTGACTGCAGGTTATCAGGACAGGCTCAGACAGTGCTGGGTTTATATTAAATATAGTGTATCCTACTGACTGCAGATTATCAGGACAGGCTCAGACAGTGCTGGGTTTATATCTAATGTAGTGTATCCTACTGACTGCAGATTATCAGGACAGGCTCAGACGGTGATGGGTTTATATTGAATATAGTGTATCTTCCTACTGACTGCAGATTATCAGGACAGGCTCAGACAGTGCTGGGTTTATTTAATGATGCTCTCATATTGCTCTTATTGGGAACAGTTCCCTGGCATCATTTGCTGTAAACATGTTGGTGATTTAAAAATAAACTTATAATCAGAATGTCAAATTTGTTAACATTTCCATGTCTGTATAAAACTAACAGTACTTGCAATTTTAGTGACTCAGTGTGACAGTCATTAGAGGCAGGTTAAGCATGCAATATAAACACGCTCAACCTGCCTTACATTGCAGGGTTAAAATGGGTGGAGATGGCACCCAGACCACTACATTGAGATAAAGTGGTCTGGGTGCCTATTGATAGTGTCCCTTTAATAAATACCTCCTTTACTCTGTGGGGTAGCTATTTATAACTCCTTATTGGTTAGAAGTGTTGCTAATCTAATCTACAATAGCACATTACATTCTGTTTGCAGAGAACAAATTGTAATTAGAGTTGCAAAATTTAGGCTGAAGTACCTAATATAGTTAAATTTGTTGTACCTAATATAGTTAAAATGGATGTTTCATCCACAGTTAGGATAAAGATAAGACTAAAAAAATTCTCAAAAATAATTTGAAAGGACATTTTTTTTTAATCTGGCAAGCAATCACATTTACAAATTAAGAAACACTTTGTAATGTATGTAAAGTATGTAATAAACATTTATAAAATTAGTGTAAACTTACCCCCTCCTTGTTACACTCCCTTTTCAGTTTCAAACCAATCCACTAATAACAGAATCAGGGCCTCATATTGATTAGAGTCCCTCTATCCTCTACCTGTCAGGATGTTGCAAGGTAAGGATATCCTTCAACTACACATGTATAAATCCATCAGGCATGCCCAATGCACTTTTCAAGCATTCCTAGGGATAGGACACTGATTGGTTAGACCAGTATTCCCCCTGGAGTGGGTGTGGAAAGTATGTGAAAGAATAAAGAATTGAGGCAACTTTGTCATTCAAAGCTAAAATGTTTGAATGACTCAGTTGTCTTAGATTGATGCATGTCCCTTTAAACATTAAATTAAACACATAAAATACATGCAGGGTTATTCAATAAGTTAAACATTTAAAGTGAATTCCTTGAAGGTAAATTAAAATTGTAGTCAAACTGATAGCATAGTTGACTATTTTGGCCTCACATTTTAAATTCACTTTAAATTCGGAATAAACATGTTGATCTGAAAAGCTACACAATCATGACTGGGGGAGATTTTACTCCTCTTATGTCTAATGCCCTCAGTAGATTATCAGAGGAGATTTATGTCCCCATCCCAATTGCTCCTATTTCCATGCCCTCCCAAATATATTTTAAACATCATTCCAACTTGCAAGCTGCTGAAATTGAATTTGAAAACCTTTTTTATAACATGCAATATAAGTTATATGATCATTTCATTAGAAAACTGAATATTTTATACTTTCTCCGATATTCTTGCAGTGCTTTTTTCAGCAGGATAATTCTGTACGACACAATAAGTAAGGAATGCCGATAAAAAAAATACATAGTGACAAAAATACTCTTAAAGTATGTAAAATTTTATATAAAATATTTGTACATATTCTTATATATACACATTTTGGTTGGTCTTTCTATTTTACAAGTAGATGCCTTTAATTCCCCCAGATCCTCACTTTCAATTTGTCATTTCAAATTCACGATCATCATATCACGTTAGGGATACGGTGGGACGTATGTCAATCCTTGAACATCAATCCTTGGACCCCATTATAAAACAATTGATACAATATTTACAGATACATTTATTAAAACAAATACTTTTAAAGTGGTACTTGGTATCCATTTAGTGCAGGGGTAGATAACCTACGGCACTCCAGATGCTGTGGACTATATCTCTCATAATGCTCTAACTAGTAAAGCATTATGGGAGATGTAGTCCTCAACATCTGGAGTGCCGACGGTTGCCTATCCCTGATTTTAGTGCATATTTACTTAGTTAAATGTCACATAATAGTATTGCTATGATTTTCCAATATACTGGGAAGAGTTTATACAATGGAATAATAGGAAGGCTTTTGCTAGGCCAAAGAGCTTACAATTCAATGTTGACGATCTGTCCCTGTTTTATAAAAAGAACGGAGTATTCAGACTTTAGTGGTCAAACCTGTAACCTGAAGATTAGTCCTGCACATCATTTGAAGGGCAATGTGATGGGGAGACAAACAAACAAAAAAATCCCAAACTTTTCAACATAGGACGTGGCGTCATTGAGTGCTGCTTATACAGGAGAGTGTCCTTAGACACAGGTACAGCTGTGTTAGAGGAACTTGTTACAGTTAGAGGGAGTGTTACAGGTAGGGGGACCCTGATTTCAAGGTTATGTAGACTGTCTCCGATGACTATCAGTGCGATTTGCAAGTTCCCTTATCCTTTAGCCTACTGTCACCCTATATCCGTAACACTCAAATGAGGTTTGGCATTTTAAAATAAACCATTTCATAGTCATACTTTATTGCATTTAATGCACCTTTCCTGAGATTATTCCCAGTTGCAAACTACTCTAAAGACAAAAAAAGAAAAAAGTAGTTTGTCACATGGTAATTCAAAACAATCATAAATGCTAATTGCATTCCTTGATAACGCCACGTTTAAAGGAAACGTAAACTTTAAAAAAATATACATATTTTTTAAAGTTTAATATTGCAGTGTCAGTGAAAAATGTGATTAACTTTCTATGTAACGTTTCTAAGAACTCTGAGTCTTTCAAAGCTGAAAGTATATATGTTCCTTTTAGATTAAATTTCCTAGGCCTGTAGCATGTCTGTTGGATTCCTGGTTCTAAATATCAGAGATCATTTGGAGTGCCTTTACACATCTATCATACCTCAAGTCTTCTTTCTTGACACATAGGTAACACAGAATATGGTAAGGGCAATGTCCTACAGAACTTCTCGGAAAATAAATCCACTTGTGATTTCCTTCAATTATTCATAAACAAAATAAAAAAAGGAATAATAGGAAGGCTTTTGCTATGGCCAAAGAGCTTACAATTAGATGTTGACGACCTGTCCCTGTTTTATAAAAAAAAAGAGCTTTTCTATTAAGAACTGAGTATTCAGACTTTAGTGATCAAAACTGTAACCTGGAGATGGCCCTTTAGTTTGGAGACAATTTAACAGTCATTTTGCATAACAACTAGAATGCCACAATAATAATACCAAATGCATATATCTTAAAATATCAATGGAATTCTCTGACAAGTGTCAATAATGGTATTTTCTAAGAAACATTAGAAAACTTAAGGAATAGCAAGACAACGTTTCTCCAGACATTGGACATTATGTTCTTCAAGTCTCCTTCGTGTTAGACCACCATAGTTGCAGTCGTTACAGATCTCTCCCAGACCACTGGACACAAACAGACATGGTCTGCAGGGAAAGTAACAAAAACATCCTGTTTCCATTTTGCCACCTTCACTTTACACTGTTAAGTCTGCTTTGACGATCATCCGAGATGATTTGCTGCTATGGGCTGAACTAGGAGCTACTTTTATTTTGTACGTGTTGTCCTGAGGGTACGGGATGGAAAGCCTGTGTCCACCAGGTCCATTTGTCTTCCCATCACCTTTTGTCTGACCTTGCAGTAACAGGTGGTTTGTCCGCTCATGTTCTCTGTTTGACCAATTGTCTCTCTCATAAGCAGGTGGGGGACTGGGTCCTTCCATTCCCCTGGACCTGCACTTTCTCTTCAACAGGATGTGCAGAAGTTCTGATATACTTAGAACTGCAGAAATTACCCCGACAACGAAGTAGAACTGCAGGAAAATAGTCTTTTCAGTAGGCCTGGACACAAAACAGTCCACTGTATGCGTACAGGGCAATCGTTGACAAAGGTATTGTGGCTCCACCTTAAAACCATAGAGAAGCCATTGTCCCACAAGGAAGCCCACCTCTGCCAAAATCCTCATCACCACATTGACTATGTAAAAAGTGCGTATATGACGACCACGATTCTCTGTTCTAATTTTTGGTGGGCCATTACCTTGTTGCCCACTTCGTGCTGCCTCTTCTTCTTCTACATCCCTCTCCATCTTGGCACTTTGGTGCATTGAATATATAACAAAAAGTACAGCTGGTGCAGATAGCAACACAATATGGAATACCCAAAATCGGTAGTGCGAGATCGGGAAGGCTCGATCATAACATACTTGCCGGCAACCCGGCTGTAAAGTGTTGCACACAAACTCCTCCTGTTCATCTTCAAACATGTCGCTGCCCACCGTAGCTAAAATCAGTATGCGGAAGATCAACATGACCACAAGCCAAAAACGGCCCACCATGGGAGAATGCTCCTGGACAGCGTCCAGGAGTGAACTCAGGAATCCCCACTCCCCCATCTCTCCTTTGGGCCGCGTTGTCTCTGTGAAGGAAAAGAACAATGCTTCAATAAATTAACATTACAATGAGACATCTACATTACCAGATGATTGTGACTGAACATTAAATCTGTTTCAATTCCCAGTGTCTGAGACGTAGGATTTCTTTGCTGTATATTAACTAATAGAATAAAAACAACTGAACATGCAAGATAAGAAAGCAAATTCAGAATTAAACAATATCAGTATTGGTTTAACAACATAGGTGTTGATGAGGCGGTAGATGTCAGGCTCTTGCCCTGGATCGCCACAGGTTGTGGAGAAGTCAGGTGAATATTAGTTTTTGTTTAAATTCTTTTTAATTTTAAAATTAGGCAGTTGCTTCTTCATGCCGATGATCCAAAAATTATTAAATCATTTGAAAAACGTATCCAATAATATGAAATTGAGGCCATAAAAAGAAATAACAGTAGCATGGTTCTCCACCAAGCCAGTGTGAACCGGTGATATTCCGCAGGTAGCGGTCAGAAAGGGATGCTGGTTAACAGAACTTTGCTGCATGACCTTCAATTAGTTAGGTAGCATGGTGGGATGACAATGAATACCGCACTGTACACCATGTTCTTGTTTTTTGGTAATGTTTTCATTGAGATCCCAGAGAGCATCAGCAGCACAGTGTTCATAGGTAAAACATTACATAGGGGGGATATCATGACCGGCATATCCCTGTTTTTCTGTTAGAGTAGGGGCCATCACGTTTTCCTTTAGGGTAAAGCTTCAGGTGTTTCTAGAACCTAGCAATGCCTCTGTTTAAAAATGACAGTTTTCCTTTAAATATTGTTTATAATAAAATATTACATCTATTAATAAATTTAAAAAAACATCGCCTGAGAGGGGATATGATAACATTATACAAATATATTTGTGGCCAATACAAACCATTGTGTGGAAATCTATTCACAAACTGGACTTTACATAGGACACAAGGTCATGCATTTAGACTGGAAGAAAGAAGATTTCGTCTAAGGCAAAGGAAATTTTTTTTTTTTACCGTAAAAACAATAAGGATGTGGAATTCTCTGCCTGAAGAAGTGGTTTTATCAAAGTCCGTAGAGATGTTTAAACAGCATACTTGCAAGGACAGAATATTAAAGGACAAACCTGACTGCCATTCTGGGGTCAAGAGGGAACTTTTTTCTTAGTTTGTTGCAAAATTGGAAGTGCTTCAAACTGGGGTTTTTGCCTTCTTTTGGATCAACAGCAAAAACAAATGTGAGGAAGGCTGAACTTGATGGACACACATCTCTTTTCAGCCTATGTTACTATGTAATTACAGACTTGCATATATCCAATCAAACATGCATGTAATGAACAGCTAGTGTGTGTTCATAAATTCTGATATAATGTGGAAGCAACAAGCATTTAAAAAAGTACTCTAGGACTGTTTCAGCCATTCAAATCGTGCCTGATCCGAGCTGACATTGCTGGTGCTTCTGATCAAAGAGGGCTAAATAATGCAAACATCAAGCCGTTGTAAGTACTACTGTAGAGAAATCACTTCTTATAATATATATTTATCTTGTTTCTTCTTGTTTAATGTAATGTGTAAATATAATATGCAATATTCTAAAACTACCTAATGTATTAATTTAAAGATTCTGGAGCAGTGAAACGCCGTGTTAGGAAAACCAATATATGGGTGCTGTTGTAAGCTGAATTATAGGATCCTGTTATAGATATTTATAGATTCTGGAAGTCATTTCTTTGCCCATATTCAAAAGTGAATTGGCGCATGCTGCAATAGCACACATCCAGTACTAAATGGTCTGAAAAACCACCTCCAATCCACTATATAAGAAGGACTAGGCATTTCAAGGGTGTTTAAAAGAACGGAATTTAATGTGAAATGTAGGCCATTCTTACGATTTGCATGAGGATGTCCAGCATCTTGCAAATTCCTATCGGAAAGCATTGATTCAATGGTTTCCTATGGGGAAGGCTTTAAAGGAACACTATAGGGTCAGGAACACAAACATGTATTCCTGACCCTATAGTGTTTAATCCACCATTTAGGGGGCTTGCCCCCACTTAGGTCCCTTAGAAAAGGTGAAAACTCACCTTATTTCCAGCGCCGCGCGGGTCTGCCAACACTGACCCCACCCCTATCCGCCTCTTAGTGACATCATCATAAGTGCAGATTTTTAACCAATCCAATGCTTTCCCATAGGGAAAGCATTGGATTGGCTGAAATCAGCAAGGGCGGGGCCAAACACGTTTTAGTCAATCAGCATCTCCTCACAGAGATGCATTGAATCAATGCATCTTTATGAGGAAATTTCAGCGTCTCCATGCAGAGCGTGGAGACACTGAACGGCAGTGCTGGACACTGCAGCACTGCCTCAGGAAGCACCTCCAGTGGCCATCTGAGGAGTGGCCACTTGGATGTGTCCCTAGGGGCAATGTAAACACTGCCTTTAGTCTGAAAAGGCAGTGTTTACATGAAAATGCCTGAAGGTAATTATTATACTCACCAAAACAACTAGATTAAGCTGTAGTTGTTCTGGTGACTATAGTGTCCCTTTAATGCTCATGTGGCAGGAGGTTCCCCCTCCTGCTGATGTCTGAGACCTCAGCGATGGAATCAGGTAAGTGAATTAAAGGGTTTTTAAACATTTGATAGAGGCGGTGGGGGGGGGAGGGGGCACAGGGCAGAGGATCACTATAGTGTATAGGTAAACACATATATTAAAGGGACACTATAGTGTTAGGAATACAAAGCTGTAATGATACCTGTTGTCTCCCCTATAAGCTTCCGTAAATGCCATATGTTAAACTAGTTCCAATTTTGTCAGTACAGTCTCTATTTTGGGGCCCCATCCCACCATTCCAACTTTGTTCCCTGGTGCCCCACTTAGGGACACAAGATAACAATCCCTAGAAAAAGTAGTACAAGCGAATCATTCAACCTTCATGCACTAAGCTCAAGTTCCTAGTGGGCCGGCCTGCTTGAGTGACACTCAGCCTGGTGCATTCAAGCCAAACTGACATTCCTATTTTTCATGTGGACCCATACCCTTTCTTTTCGGCAGTGCTAGTGACGCAATGCACGTCACTGGCTCACTCTTTTTACCCCAACCACGAGTGTTCCGCTTTACGGGACGTTGATATTGGGAGCTAGGTATAAAATGACATAGGAAGTAAGTTACATGGATGGTAATAAAGGCTGAATAAAAACACGCAAACCTTTCACACATGTGCATTACTGCTGTTGATCCAAAAGAAGGTGAAAGCCCACTGTGAAGCAAATTCCAATTTTGTCACAAATAGGGGGTGGGGGTGAAACCCTTCTTGACTCCAAAATTGCATTCAGATTCCCCACCGGATCAACAAGCTGTTTCCTACAGATTAACTAATTTCTCATTAAATATTCTATTTATTTATTTTTTTAAATACAGTCATTGCTTAAAATGTCAGATGTAAGCAAGATATATATTTGGGCGAATTATTCCAAAGGAAGGGCGAGAAAAACCCTTTCTAGGTACTGCCAGATTGAATTAGTCATTTCACTACTATGTGGTTAAATAATGCATAAATGTGATATAGTTTAAAGGACCACTCTAGGCACCCAGACCACTTCAGCTTAATGAAGTGGTCTGGGTGCCAGGTCCTTCTAGGGTTAACCCATTTTTTCATAATTATAGCAGTTTCAGAGAAACTGCTATAATTATGAATGGGTTAAGCCTTCCCCCTAATCCTCTAGTGGCTGTCTCATTGACAGCCACTAGAGGCGCTTGCGTGCTTCTCACTGTGATTTTCACAGTGAGAGCACGCAAGCGTCCATAGGAAAGCATTGTAAATGCTTTCCTATGCGACGGGCTGAATGCGCGCGCAGCTCTTGCTGCGCGTGCGCATTCAGCCGGCGGGGCGTAACGGAGGCGGAGAGGAGGAGGAGAGCTCTCCGCCCAGCGCTGGAAAAAGGTAAGTTATTACCCTTTTCCCCCTTCCAGAGCCGGGCGGGAGGGGGACCCTGAGGGTGGGGGCACCCTCAGGGCACTATAGTGCCAGGAAAACGAGTATGTTTTCCTGGCACTATAGTGGTCCTTTAAGGATGAACATTTTATTGGAAATCAATATTCAGTCAACACTAGCAAACCTTAGTGATCACCAACACCATTAACAAACGATCTCCCCCCTCCCATGCCGACATTCATACATATACATTCCCTTTAAGGTATCGTATCAATGGGATTGATTAAATTTCAATTAATACGGTACACAAAAGTCAATCATTTACTCCCTGGGAGCGTCTGGATGTGATACATTGTACATACCAATTTGTGTTAAACTTTTATTTTAAAATCACAGAATGATTGGTTGGAAAAATCCCCAGATCTGGCTATATAACAAATACATATTTAAATGTATTAGTGTAGGTAAGTCACAATCAGAAGATTGGTGTTTTCAAATTTTGACGATCCATGGAATTCCAAGATTTAATTTTAACAACAAAAATTTATTAATATTATAACTATATGGTAGCAATATTTTTATAAAATTATAATAATCATTTTCCGTATTTAATAGACAAATGGCAACGGCAAAAGATGGCCAGTGTTGATTGGTAAAAATTTGAAAAAATTTAGATATACCTTTTGTGGCTTGCATTTATCTTACGAACCCAAGAGACACCTATATGTAAGGTGAACAAGATCAGTTTAAACCTGTGATTGGCATTATTCAGCTGACGTTAATGTATATTGTCTCTGGAAGCAGATTTAGCAGTTAGTATTGCAGTTAGCATGTTAATCTCCAGTGTTAAAATTAGTGAATGACCCACCGATATTAGGGTGCTGTGACGTAGTGGTGGGCTTAACCCAATGTGGCAAAGTGACAATCCCTGTATTTGTTTGCTGAGATCGGTGATTTTAGGTAGCCTTGTAAAATCGAAAACTGTATTTTTTTCTGTATGCACTGTTCCCTTAACGTCTGTATCTTGTATTTATTTTTGTCTTTACAGAAGCACCACTATTTAGAAATGCACGTATCGGCTGTGCCCCCAATTCCCCTTTATTTTGCTAATGTGTATTGTAGCATAACTAATAGGAACATTTTATCTAAGTTCCACGGGAGGCAGTGAGTTAGGCAATCAAACTGCTTTAATACGAAAATAATCCCAAACAATTCTTAGAGGTTTATTTACAAGACAGTGAGATGTAGCAAACAGACAATCAATCTACGGGGAACATATCTCTGCTATTTCTGTTAAAATTATTTAACTCAATTTACTCCCTGTTTAAAACCAAACAAATGCGGCACTAGAATTTCCTAAAAAAAAAAAAAAAAGATACGTTAAAAGGGGAACTGTCCCACCATTGGATAAAACATTGAAATCGCCTAAAACGTGTGTTAACATTTTTACATGATATGCTCTGTTTTATCTTCAGTTTCTATTAAAGAGTTTAGCTAATCCAGTTCAGACAGGGCAAACCTATATCATCACTATTCACTATTTCATTTCTCTCCTGCCCTGTATGCTTACTTTATACTGTTGACACAATGTGTAAAGGACAGAACTTATCACAATGATTGACAGGGAGCTAAGACGGAGGCGCCCAGGTGTAGGGTAAAGATGAGTGGATTTCTATATTTATTGTTTGTTTTTTTTCACATCTCACAAATACGTAACTGTTAAAAATAGGGATAATCGAACATAATCTAAAAAAATCTGGAGAAGTGCCACTTCCCCTTTAACTTCTTAATCACATTGCAAGTCGAGAACCAATGTAAATTGAAACCGAAATAACATTTTCTGCACATATTAATACAATGTAATGCTAAAATACAAGACGTTAATATTAGAACATAAATAACTAACGCATTATGTGTTGATATTATATTTTTTCTGGTGCCTTCTGAAGCAAGTGTGTCACCAAAAGGACGTCACAACAGGAAACGAACAGTGTGATTGACAGTTCCTCCCCACTATGATTTAACTCCTGACATTGTCAATATGTGTCAATTTATGGCGATTTTACATTTAGGTCTGTGAAGGTTCCATTGCTTACTGTGGTCAGGCAGCCAGGACATGCACTTCAAGAAATCATATTTGCAGTGGACTTAGATTCCCAAGATGCACTTGCCATGCTTAAAACCCCACAAACTCTAATGTTTGGCCACGAGGAGTACTGCAATATTACTATGGCTCCTAGTAGTACTAATAGAGAGTATGACTTGCATTAAAAATAGTTTACAATCCAGTTATCTCCAGTTCCTATTTTGGAGGTATTTTTTATTAAAGGAAGACTTGCAGAACCAGAACCGCTACAGTCTGCTGCAGTTGTTATAGTGCCAAGCGTGCCCTCATGCCGGGCGGGACGCAGATAAGTTTTCAAACCTTTCTTAAATGGTTTGACTACTTACTCTGGGAGGGTGCCACAGCACTTTTAGCACCATAAACACTGCAGCGGCTGTAGTGGGTCTGCTGCTTGAAGTTCACTTAATTTAGATTTCTGATGATGGGAAAGAGATACCAGTGGTCATTTTTCCTAGGGGTGCCCATGATATATATTTACAGCACAGTTTACTAAATATACCAAGTAAGATGCAGTGTCACTCCACAGTAGAGTACCAGACGTTACTAATTTCAGCCGATTGCAGCAATACTTGTCAATTTCACATCCATTCAAAAAGGATCCCATAAATGTTGACGGATCTAACACAGAGTTTTATTCCAGGTTAGATCTATTGTTGAATGAAAAGTTTGTCTTGAAAGCACTGAATTAATTCCCCAAGTGCTGTTCACAGACCAGCACTGAACTGGTTAATACCATAGCCACGCTCCCTCTCTTGGTCAGACTGATAAACGATAAGAATGTCTGCATTTAGCACATACCTCTCAACTGTCCTGCAAAGACATCAGGGACAGCTTTGTCTCCCTGGGACGGATGAAGGCAGCTATGACACGTAGCGTAAACTGCAAAGAGAGACAATGTCACAGTCGCTGGTGTCTACGGGGTTAAACTGTATATAATATTCTCACACTCTTCAAACCAGAAACACAATGCAGCGTGTTTAAACCGTTACTCCTGACAAGTGTGAAGGGTTAGCATTCTCTGTATGAAACCACTACTTAGTGACAAATACCATACCAGCCTCATCTTAACTGCATATTCTACACATCCTGGGGAAATTGGTAATCATGTTTTGATCCCTCTACAGGTCCCATAATTCTCACAATTTCCTAATACATAGGAAGAGGTGAGAGGTATGTGTCCAAATGCTTAATACACAGACATCAGGACACATACCTCTCACATCCTCCTAATACACAGACATCAGGACACATACCTCTCACATCCTCCTAATACACAGACATCAGGACACATACCTCTCACCTCCTCCTAATACACAGATAGCAGGACACATACCTCTCACCTCCTCCTAATACACAGACATCAGGACACACACCTCTCACCTCTTCCTAATACACAGACATCAGGACACATACCTCTCACCTCCTCCTAATACACAGACATCAGGACACATACCTCTCACCTCCTCCTAATACACAGACATCAGGACACATACCTCTCACCTCCTCCTAATACACAGATAGCAGGACACATACCTCTCACCTCCTCCTAATACACAGACATCAGGACACACACCTCTCACCTCCTCCTAATACACAGACATCAGGACACATACCTCTCACCTCTTCCTAATACACAGACAGCAGGACACATACCTCTCACCTCCTCCTAATACACAGATAGCAGGACACATACCTCTCACCTCCTCCTAATACACAGACATCAGGACACATACCTCTCACCTCCTCCTAATACACAGACATCAGGACACATACCTCTCACCTCCTCCTAATACACAGACATCAGGACACATACCTCTCACCTCTCCTAATACACAGACATCAGGACACACACCTCTCACCTCCTCCTAATACACAGACATCAGGACACATACCTCTCACCTCCTCCTAATACACATACCTCTCACCTCCTCCTAATACACAGACATCAGGACACACACCTCTCACCTCCTCCTAATACACAGACATCAGGACACACACCTCTCACCACCTCCTAATACACAGACATCAGGACACGCACCTCTCACCTTCTCCTAATACACAGATATCAGGACACATACCTCTCACCTCCTCCTAATACACAGACATCAGGACACAGACTGTCAGGACCGCACCTCTCACCTCCTCCTAATACACAGACATCCAGGACGCTCTCACCTCCTCCTAATACTGCACACAGACATCAGGACACACACCTCACCTCCTCTAATACACAGACATCCCAGTTTTACCTCTCACTTCTCCTAATACGGAACATCCAGGACACATACCTCTCACCTCCTCCTAATACACAGACATCAGGACACACACTTCTCACCTCCTAATACACAGACATCAGGGGACACACCTCTCACCTCCTCCTAATACACAGACATCAGGACACACACCTCTCACCTTCTCCTAATACACAGACATCAGGACACAAACGTTTCACCTACTCCTAATACACAGACATTGGGACACATACTTCTCACCTCCTCCTAATACACAGACATCAGGACACACACCTCTCACCTCCTCCTAATACACAGACATCAGGACACACACCTCTCACCTCCTCCTAATACACAGACATCAGGACACACACCTCTCACCTCCTCCTAATACACAGACATCAGGACACATACCTCTCACCTCTTCCTAATACACAGATAGCAGGACACATACCTCTCACCTCCTCCTAATACACAGACATCAGGACACACACCTCTCACCTCCTCCTAATACACAGACATCAGGACATGCACCTCTCACCTCTTCCTAATACACAGACATCAGGACACATACCTCTCACCTCCTCCTAATACACAGACATCAGGACACATACCTCTCACCTCCTCCTAATACACAGACATCAGGACACGCACCTCTCACCTCCTCCTAATACACAGACATCAGGACACATAACTCTCACCTCCTCCTAATACACAGACATCAGGACACACACCTCTCACCTCCTCCTAATACACAGACATCAGGACACACACCTCTCACCTTCTCCTAATACACAGACATCAGGACACTCACCTCTCACCTCCTCCTAATACACAGACATCAGGGCACCTCTCCTCCTCCTAATACACAGACATCAGGACACGCACCTCTCACCTTCTCCTAATACACAGACATCAGGACACAAACGTTTCACCTCCTCCTAATACACAGACATCAGGACACACACTTCTCACCTCCTCCTAATACACAGACATCAGGGGACACACCTCTCACCTTCTCCTAATACACAGACATCAGGACACAAACGTTTCACCTCCTCCTAATACACAGACATTGGGACACATACTTCTCACCTCCTCCTAATACACAGACATCAGGACACACACCTCTCACCTCCTCCTAATACACAGACATCAGGACACACACCTCTCACCGTCTCCTAATACACAGACATCAGGACACAAACCTCTCACCTCCTCCTAATACACAGACATCAGGACACATACCTCTCACCTCCTCCTAATACACAGACATCAGGACACACACCTCTCACCGTCTCCTAATACACAGACATCAGGACACATACCTCTCACCTCCTCCTAATAGAAAAACATGACAACACATAAGCACCAACATACGGACAAATATCTTTCACTTTCTCCTATTACATAGACATCAGGACACATGGCTCTTACTCATGCTGCATACACACAAAGACATACAGCAAATTATTTAATTAATGTCACTGTCTGATAATATACAGCCCGGAGATTTCATTATAGGAAGATACACTACATTATATATAAACCCAGCACTGTCAGAGCTTGTCCTGATAATATGCAGTCAGTAGGTTACACTATATTAAATATAAACCCAGCACTGTCTGAGCCTGTCCTGATAATCTGCAGTCAGTAGGATACACTATATTTAATATAAACCCATCACTGTCTGAGCCTGTCCTGATAATCTGCAGTCAGTAGGATACACTATATTAAATATAAACCCAGCACTGTCTGAGCCTATCCTGATAATCTGCAGTCAGTAGGATACACTATATTTAATATAAACCCATCACTGTCTGAGCCTGTCCTGATAATCTGCAGTCAGTAGGTTACACTATATTAGATATAAACCCAGCACTGTCTGAGCCTGTCCTGATAATATGCAGTCAGTAGGATACACTATATTAGATATAAACCCAGCACTGTCTGAGCCTGTCCTGATAATATGCAGTCAGTAGGATACACTATATTAGATATAAACCCAGCACTGTCTGAGCCTGTCCTGATCATCTGCAGTCAGTAGGATACACTATATTTAATATAAACCCAGCACTGTCTGAGCCTGTCCTGATAATTTGTAGTCAGTACGTTACACTACATTAGATATAAACCCATCACTGTCAGAGCTTGTCCTGATAATCTGCAGTCAGTAGGATACACTATATTTAATATAAACCCAGCACTGTCAGAGCTTGTCCTGATAATCTGCAGTCAGTAGGATACACTATATTTAATATAAACCCATCACCGTCTGAGCCTGTCCTGATAATCTGCAGTCAGTAGGATACACTATATTAGATATAAACCCAGCACTGTCTGAGCCTGTCCTGATAATTTGTAGTCAGTACGTTACACTACATTAGATATAAACCCATCACTGTAAGAGCTTGTCCTGATAATCTGCAGTCAGTAGGATACACTACATTAGATATAAACCCAGCACTGTCTGAACCTGTCCTGATAATCCCCAAACAGGTGAATTCCTACCTGTTTATTAATCTGTTAAGATGTTCTCTGCTCCTACACGTTACTCCTATGATTTCACAGAAGGTGCGGAGTTCATGTCTCCGAGCTGCTTTCACTTCATTTTCCCTGGATACTTTCAGAATGCCGTGATATTTAGGGCTGTGTGTCTCCTCCTTCTCTTAAAGTGACATTAGCCCAACTACAGCAATGACATCAAGCTATACATCTGTACAAAATGCAGTATCCCACATCCATTGCATTTTCATTTTGACTATGGAGTAATTCTGCCAATAGCGGAACTTATATATTTTATTATTTTCTAGATAACTGATCATTGGAGACATTAATAATTTTTTGGACCAAATTTTGCAATAACTGGAAATTGTTACATTTTGGGTTTTCCCCCAATCTTCTAGATCAATGGTTCCCAGCCCAGCCTTCAAGTACCCCCTAACAGTCCAGGATTTATGGATTACCCAGTTGTGTCTAAGGTGTTTAAAGAAAAAAACTAACAAAAAAAACCCGTTAGGCACAACAGGGTAATACCTAAATCCTGGACTGGTCGGGGGTACTTAAGGACTTGAGGGACCCCCAGATCTAGTTAAATGGAGTATATATATTTTTAATTTTATATTTAATTTATTAATTCATGCCATTCTCAGTCTTAAATGAGAAAAAAAAATCTAATTTATTAAAACTGCATTATTTTGGTTTCATAATTCTATTAGTTCATTTACAAATGTATTGCAACATGTGATTTTACTTTTGTTAGAAGCAGGAAGGTGGTTTAATTTGCAGCTACATTTCTAATCACTGACTGATTGTTAAAAAGAAGCTGAGAATGTATAGATCACTAAATCACAAATAGACTCATGTAGGATGCTAATGTTCTTATTGTATTAGTGAGAAAACATTCCTGGTTCATAACTACCACATGCCACTTATTTCTATTATATTATTGGCATTTCTATATAGCGACAACGCATTCCGCAGCGGATTACAATATTATAAAAGGGAAATGTAACAATTAATACCAATAACAATTACAAACTGTTACAGGGGCAATAGGTTGATAAGGACCCTGCTCAAACAAGCTTACTGTTAATGTATTTGAGAAGTACTGATGTGTCAATGCCTCAAAACTTAATAAAATGTTATATTGAAAAAAACAATATCACACAGATTTTCTAAAAATTCTTAAATTTACTCCATACACATGCTGTATGTTTGAAAAGAAGATTTGAGGGTGGGTCGCAAGCACACCCTAAAAGGAAATCCTAAAAACTGAAGGGTGGAAGAATTGCTGAATTATTACAGAACAATCCTGTAGTCTCAATACCTCTGAAGCAGGGCCGAATAAACCCTCTTTGCTGCCCCAAGGCCAGTTTCTTTAATGCAACCCTTGCCCCTCCTATATATATATCTTATTGGCAGATTATGAAGGAATCTCATACAAGTATGGATATGGCTGGTCTCTTTGATATAAGTGTAACTGGGTGCATTTAAACTGGTCCCTCTCACCCTGACTCCTCACAGCACCTGCATCCTCTCCTTTCATCCTCCTCAAAGGACACATTCCTTCAGGGCCAGATTAACATAGAGGCTGATGGAGCTGCAGCTCAAGGCTCATGCCCATGGAATAGGCCCATTTAAAAAAAAGAAAAATAAACTTATTTTTTGCACACTACTCTTTTGACACCTGACTGGTATTTGAGGCTGCTTGGCCGGTGCCGATATTGCAATAATACCGGCAATACAAATGCAGATATTTTTCTCAGTATAGACGGAGATTACTATGCAATACCAGCACCGTGAGACATAGGGACATTAGAAGACACTTAAACATTGGGAAACGGAGACAGTAGGGACCTCATGTCTCCCAGTGTCCCCATGTCTCAGTGTCCTCATGTCTTCCAGCCAGTGTTTCAGTGTCCCCATGGCTCCCAGTGTCCCCTAGTCTCCCAGTCTGTGTCCCCATGTCTCCCAGAGTCCTCAAATGTCTGTGTCCCCATGTCGCCCCGTGTGTCCCCATGTCTCCCAGCCTAGTGTCTCAGTGTCCCCATGTCTCCCAGTGTCCCTATGTCTCCCATCCAGTGTCCCTAGTATCCCCAAGTCTCCCAGCATCTTTGTCCCCATGTCTCTCAGTGTCCCTAGTGTCCCCATGTCTCCCAGTGTCCCCAAATGTCTCAGTGTCCCCATGTCTTCCAGTGTCCCCAGGTGTCTGTGTCCCCATGTCTCCCAGCCAGTGTCCCTACTGTCTCAGTGTCCCCATATCTCCCAGTGTCCCCTGGTCTCCCAGTGTCCCCTAAGCTCCCAGTGTCTGTGTTCCCATGTTTCTCAGTGTCCCTAGTGTCTTAGTGTCCCTAAATGTTTTAGTGTCCCCGTGTCTCCCAGTGTCTGTGTGTCCCCATGTCTTTGTGTCCCTAGTTTCTCAGTGTCCCCATTTCTCCCAGTGTCCCCAAATGTCTCAGTGTCGCCATGTCTCCCAGTGTCCCCAATGCTGTATCCACAAGTGCCCTCATGTCTCCCCGTGTCCTCAAGTGTCTCAGTGCCCCCATGTCTCCCAGTGTCCCCATGTCTCCCAGTGTCCCCATGTCTCCGTGTGTCCCCATGTCTCACTGTGTCCCCATGTTTCACTGTGTCCCCTAGTATTCTAGTGACATGGGGACATGCTGAGACATGGGGACACTGAGACAATGGGAGACTAGGGAACTGGGCTACATAGGGACACTGACACTGTGATACATAGGGACACTGAGACACTGGGTGACTTGGGAGACTGAGACACTGGGAGACAGGGAGACACTGGGAGCAATCCATCTATACAGCAGAATCAAACTGTGAGTAATTTGTTTGTGATTTTACAGAATTTTCTCTTATGTCACTCGTTGTGATTTACATCATGTGATGTCGCGCATACATAATTAATTATACAAATGCCTAAGGCCGGTATTTTTTCCAAGAAATGTGGCAACCCTAACTACTCTTCACATACTCTTGCTTAAAGGAACACTATAGGGTCAGGAACACAATCTTGTATTTCTGACCTTATTATGTTAAAATCACCATCTAGTCCCCTCTTGCCTCCCTAAATATATTAAAATCTTACTTGTATTCAAGTCTGCAGCTGCTGGCTATACCTCTGAACTGACTCTGTCTGTTGACATCATCGGAAGTGGTAGTCTGAGCCAATTCGAATGCTTCCCCATAGGATTGGCTAAGACTGTCAAGGAGGCAGATCAGGGGCAGAGCCAGCACAAGTCTAACATAGCCCTGGCCAATCAGCATCTCCTCATAGAGATGAATTAATTCAATTGATCTCTATGAGGAAAGTTCAGTGTCTGCATTCAGAGGAAGGAGGCACTGAATGGCAGTGCTGCACACTAGGCAGTACTGCCCAAGGAAGCACCTCTAGCAGCCATCTAAGGAGTGGCCAGTGGAGTTATTTTCTCTGAAAAGATAGTGTTTACTACAAAAAGCCTGAGGGGAATTATTCAACTCACCAGAACAAATACAATAAGCTGTAGTTGTTCTGGTGACTATTGTGTCCCTTTAAGTATGGAAGCTTAAGAGGGATGTATGGGAACAAAGCTTGTGTGGACTGGCTGACAATAAAATTAGTTAAGGTAATGCAGGCTTTGGTCTCTCTAACACTGTGGCATGTCCCCTTTCTTCTACATTTCTACATACACCTTTTTCTGTCTCAGACTATATACCAGGAACTTCTGCCTGCTAGTAAGAAGGTAAGGAGACAAGTGGACATGTGAGTGCTAGGGGACAGTCCTTAGAAAGCGTGGAATAGGCGCATCATTTGATGCATTTATATCAAGCTCAGGGTGCTGCCTGCACAGTATGCCCTTAGTTGGACAGCCTGCATGATTGGCAGGCAGCCTGACATGCATTCATACCAGGCTGGCCTTCCAATTCTTTGGACAGACATGCCCCCTTTTTGGGCATGTTCGCCCCTTTTGGCAGTTCTGGTCATGTGATTCGCGTCAGTGGCCCACCCTTTTACCTCGCCCATTGACTTCCTGCTTCACTGGACACTGCTGTTAGGGGTTATGGATTTACTTGAAAGATGAAAGCATAAATTAGAGAGAGATTAGCATAGAGTATGTGTTTTCTTATAGCTGCATCCTATGAGTTTCCCTCCAACACCATCTCCATCAGATAGATGACGCTTGGGAGGTATGATTGTTTCAGTGTTTTTGGTTGATAAGATTCTGTAATTAGTCCCCATCATAATTGTCAGCACCAGGCCCAATGGGCTCTTAATTTGGCCCTGACATTCCTGCTGGTGTTCTCATTTCCCCCAATCATCCGGGAGAGCACAGTGCATGCATGGAACCACCTTTGCGTCACTTGCAATCCCGGGAGTTAAGGCGGTGCCTTTAAGCTTTGACTTTTTTTGATTGTAAAAAATAGCTCAATGGGTCCCAACGGAATGAGAATGGGATGGCCAGTAAGGGAGATGTTTGATCTCTCTCACCAGTCGTGCCACACCTCTCCTGCCTACCGTTAAGAGGCCGTAGCATCCATGGTCTTATGAGAAACCACTAACGATTGCAGGTATTTTATTTTTCTTACTGTTGGTTGTTTTGTTTGTTTGTTTGTTTTTAGCTCCAAACTTTGCAGAGTCTATTTTTTGATTATGCTTTAAATGGACACTATAATCACCAAAACAACTTTAGCCTAGTGAAGCAGTTTTGGTGTATAGATCATGCCCCTGCAGTCTCACCGCTCAGTTCTCTGTCATTTAGGCGTTAAATCACTTTATTTACACAGTCCTAGCCACACCTCCATGCATGTGACTTATACAGTCTACCTAAACACTTCATGTAAAGAATAATCTAATGTTTACACTTCCTTTATTGCAAATTCAGTTTAATTTAAAATGTCTTATCTCCTGCTCTGTTAATAGCTCACTAGACCCTGCAGGGGTCTTGTGTATGGTATGTAATTAAAGTTCAATTTACAGAGCAGGAAATAAACACTTTTAGGCTAAGTTACATCTGATTGAAATTGAAAGATTATATGCATGAAGGGGCTGTGGAGGATCTGGTGGAGAAAGAGACAAGGTCCTGGGGGTAAAATACACACAAATTGGACTATGGAGAGAGAC